TTAATTTTTTTAAAACTAATTTTCTTGTATGGAAAAGAAAAAATATTGGATGGAAAATATGATAAATGACAATTTTAATGAAATAAGACTGTAATATTGTTGAAATTTAAGATTTAGAAAATTCTTAAAAGAAAAAATCATAGATATTATTGGGTATATACAAGTATATATGTTGATTTGGCACTTCTTTTTTTCTGTGTACGGATTTATTATACTTTGATCACAAGCATCTTTCGTCGATTTCATCTCTTTGAGGGCAGTATAGAGAGAAAAGGGAATACTTCTTATATAGGATAGTAAGTAAATACAAGAAAAACAAGGAACATGTGTAAAAGTGTTTCTTTCATCATTGATAAAAAATATTGCAGAGAGATGAAGAAGAGTGTTTTATATATTCAATATCAGTTTCAATCGGAATTGTGTAAAAGACTTTCGCGTTATAATTTGTATGCGTCGTATGATTTACAAGTAAAACTCTCGTTTCTCATCACATTTGCGGGATCGCTAACTTTAAACTAACGTGGAAAGAAAAATCGATCTATGCCTGTCGCACATCCGCCGCTACGTAAAAATATTTCTTGACGTTTAAAAAATATAACAAGTGTCTTTGGGCACACTTATTCTTAAACATTTTAGTGAGTTTATAATACTTTACGTCGGGGAAGGCATCTACGTCGCGTCATCGCTATTTCTATATTTCGTAAAAAATAATTTCTTTTTTTGCACTCTTTTTATTTTACGAACAAAAGCGAGACACAAAAATAAGCTAAAAATCTCCGCGAAAAATGGTACAAAAATATACACAAGATATATATCGAGGTTTTCTCTTCTTAAACGGACGACGTAAAGTATATACATTCATACATACATATACATATATATATATATATATATATATATATATATATATATATATATATACATATATAGTCACGAGGCAGAGGCTGAATTAGGAAAGGCACAGATTCCAGTGCTACATATCTAAGTGCGTAAGGCGATCTCCTGTTTCGTGATTTCAGGAAGACGTTACTTTTCTTTTTTAATAATTATATAACATTACACACACATGTGCATACATACGTATATGCGTTATGTATACCGTATATAAAAAACGTATATACGTATATATCACACGTATATATTCGAAGATGACGCGCAATATATGTAAAAAGTTCCTAAAAAATGTAATCTATACACTGAGAAAACTATGTTGAGAGAACCACAGAATAACGGAGCTGAGAAATATATATATATGCAAAATCACACAATATCCGTTGAGCAGTCGACCGGTTATTATTTTTTTGCTCGACATCAACATCGGTCGGCAGATTGGTCGTGTATAAAACCCGTGTCTCTATGGCCTTTCGCTTGTCGGAAGGAACTCGAGAGATGAAGCGAAGCTTATACGGTTCACGGCCTGCAGCATATAATATATAATAATATATAACCGGTGTGAATTAATTAATAATGCAGAAACGTCAAGGGGGGAAGAAATTGTTCTGATGCACCAATGGCTATGGATATGCCGTCAATTTCGTAACATTTATCTGTTTTTATTTCCGTTACTTATGTACATCGGGAAATGATGAGTACAGTGACCATATCATGAAAGTGAGAAAATATTCATTACATTACGGTTGTGTTTTATACAACGGATTTGTATATATATAAAACTCTCGTTATTCTGCAGTCTTCCATCCTCAGCTCCAAGCACTTTACATGTACGTGTGTGGTATACGCTGTCAATTTGCATTTAAATGTGCGATATGATATATAATTAGAAGTCCCATGTTTATATATATATATATATATATATATATATATATATATAATATAAAATATATATATATATATATATATGTATGTATATATATATATATATATATATATATATATATATAAAATAAAATAAATCAAAGATATATGCCTCGCTACAATCGAGTGAGAAAAAGGGATGCACAATGAATATGCGAGGTGGCCTAAATTCAGCCGAGCAATGTATGTGTGTGTGTGTGTATGTGTGTTACTTCCATCAATCAATCTCGAGAGAATTCATCTTAAATCTCTTATAACGATATGATCTTTAATCCACGGTATAGAGTAGCAAATCAAAATTCTGTATAAGAAAACGCTCTGTATATCTCGTTATGTATATAGAAGAGAGACAAAAAAAAAATATATATATATATATGTATATATTTCTACTTAGAATTCGGCTAAAAAGGGTACAATCTGTCAAGCAAATATTTATGGGACAAACAAACAATATCAATAGGTGAAATACGCGATATGCTTGAGGATGAAAATAGTACACACATATATATATATATATATATATACACATATATATATATATTATATGTATAAATAAGCTACGAACAAAATGCATAAGCTACATGTCCTGCGGCTTTCACTGATAATGGTCGCTGCTAGCTCATCGGATTTGTAATATCATGTATATATATATTTATATATATATAATATGTAATCATATCAATATAAAATTTCCAAAATTACATAGTCATTGTGCATCCTTAAAAAAACAGAAATATCATTTTTTTCATGCAAACAATAAATACAATTTATCAAACTATGTCAGTATGAGATAGTATATCCAAGTATATGTATTAAAATCTTAACACTGAAATGTTTAAGATGCTAAGCATGCACTGAGGGTCCACTGCAAAGCTGCGATATGTTTATGCTAGCACTCTCAGTCTGTACCCGCATATAAGATCGGATAACGTGTGACAGTATGAAATTATCAAATATATTTTCTACTTGGCATATATCCAGAAATAATTCAATGGATAATGGAGAATGGGAGAAATAAGAGAAATGGAAAAAAGTGTAACAACGAAAGAAAATTTTTCATTTTCATGGATTTTCTTTGACGTGTGATTACTTCATAAAGTAATGCATGCAATAATTATATTTAAAAAATTAAAATCTTTGATACTTTTAACGCACATCTCTTTTTTGAATTAATATCTTTACTGTCTTGAAGGTATTTGATCGTCAATAAATTTTCAAAGAATTTCCTAGCTAATTAGAATGGAATTTAAAATTACAAAAGTCAATTTCCTATCGTATATTTTACACGTGACAATTGATTTAGACTGTAAAATATATATTTGTGAACTAACTGCACAAAAATATTCGTAAATGAACGACGATGGAGTATAACATTTCGATCGTACGCGTTATTAGCATGCTGTCAAATATATATATATATATATATATATATATATATATATATATATATATATAGGTATAATGCTAAATTGTGGATTCAAACAATTATGGAACTTACCGTTTGGAGAACTTCGAGGATAATTTCGAGAAGAAGGACGGCCTTGCTAGAGGGCTAATCGCATTCGTGTCCTGCGTTTGTGTATGACCCTGGAAGTATATATATTTATTAAGTATTATTAAGTAGAATATATTTTGTGTTAAATCAATCAAGCATCAAATGTATACTAAATAGTATACATATATACTAGATATATAATAAATACTGCTACAAGTAAAAATCGTGCTGTCTACCCGGTTTAATTATTCTCTAATATCCAAAATATTTAGATATCGATACGTAGGTGTGTCAAAGCCTCTTAGTAATGTTTCTTTTTTTAACTTATGTGACTATTCCATTTCATTTGACAAATACTCACCTGAGTGTGATTTCGCTGTGCTCTATTTTGGCCAGAATGAAACGTACTGCGACTCGGTACATTCCGTGGAAACGCTGGCGTAGTAGCTGTGGCCAGTCTGTTGCTCGCACATACACCCAAGCTAACAACAGACGATGATCTCTGCTTTAGTAAGTGCTACAATTGTGATAAATATAATATATAGGCTGACTTATCGGCTCTATAGTTTTACGTGTATACTACTGGCAATTTGCGAAGAACGAGATAAAATTACAATTGATACCCAATTGATTGAATTTAAGAGAAGCTGGCAATTCAAGATGCAGAAAAACGGGTAGAATAAGGTAAACTGTTGTTCAAACGCTATGTCTATTTCTATAGAAATACTATTGTGAGTTTCTAATGCGCAAGCAATTTATAGCTTACAAATGAAGCTTAGCATGTAGATGAAGCGAAATTTATGAGAAATTAGTTTATATTGATTGAGAATATGTAGCAAATTACGAACGCAATATATTTCAATTTGAAAATGTAATTGCACATGCTTTAGAAACAGATTATTTCAAGATTATGCTATTCAAGAGAGAAATACGTTTGAATCAGGTAATCAACAGCGAGATTATAATCGCTTATAAATAATTGAGTTGCACGAATTATATTTGAATCGATAAATACGTATGAATTATATACTTTAATTAATTATTTCTTAATTAATAAATTATACTTATTACGACTTTTTAAAGATAACGAAACAATTTGCAAAAGAGAAAATATATGTAATTATTTATTATTTGAAATCAATGTAGAATAAATGTTTACTTAAATTGATTATGACGATCTACTTTTCGACTTACATCGTTATAATATTCTACATGATTAAGCTCACTCTAATTAATCAGAGTCATTCTAAAAATTGCCATGTGAGTAAAGAGTGTAAGCATGAAACTGTATAATGAATAAATGAAATGTATCGTTTTAGGTGCCGTCATCAAGCCTAAATGATCATGTACAAATAAAAAAAGGAGCTGAGATGTAATAATCTAGTAGAGATCTAGTAAAGTTTAATTCATGCAAATGAGAAGGAGAACGCAAGAGAGAAAAGAGAAATGAGAGAAAATGACCAAAAACTATCCTAGAGATCCTATGATGCGGATACAATCTTTCAAGTAAAACACACTCGAAGAGGCAGAACAATGTTATCTCGAAACCGACAAATTTCGAGGATGTATTCGCGAGAGAGATACCTGGGATACCACCTGGTTACCCTAAGAAAGTTAGTGGCCCAAGAAAGAAGTGAACATAAACGAAAGAAGAAACGCATATATAGTCGAAATATATACTTTATAAATATGCAGGAATAAGAGATACGCGCAGGTTTATTTTGGTTCTCGTATTAGAGGGACAGAGATTGTGGGGACCTGTACCTCTGCCTAAGGGGGTCAGCGGTGGCGAGTAAGGAGTTGTGGGCGTTGCGTGGTTGAGGGTCCAGTAGTGAATGGTCGCTGGGGGGTACACCACTTGAGGAACGGTGACCTGCACTGATGCTCGCAGACTTGGTGTGACCCCGCGTCGGTCTAGTGCCCTCGCCCAGGCTGTGCACAAAACTAATCAGCAAATCGCCGGATTGCTCTATATCCTTTACGATTTAATTCTACCCCTTCTTTACTTCTTTTTTCCTTTTACACATTATTATTAATAAAAGAGCAGAATTTGTTCAAGGCTGTAGAGAGAGAAGCAATATGGGGCGAGATTTGAAACTTGTTTACATATCCAAAGTATATTTATGCACGATACGATAATGAATTTTTCATCTCTAGATAAAAATAAAGATCAAGTGAATTTTGCCACCTTGTGTTTCAAGTTGTAATGCTGTTTACTTTCATTTATCGTATATTGCTTAAAAAAAAAAGAAAAAAAAAGAAGAAAAGAAAAAAAAACATGATAAATTTTTATATATCTATTAAGTATTCTTCAGTAATTTTTCAAAGATTTGTATACATATATAAATATATAGTAGAGTCTCGTTAATTTTGGCCCTCCGGGGCAGTAAGAGCGAAAAATTTCTAGAAAACAAAAATTGGTACACGAAACTTGTCACATAATCTGCCTATCATAACGCAGAAAGGACAAAGTATTATCTTGAAAGTAATGTAGAAGCTATCAAAATTAATGGGGCCAAATTTGATAAGGCTCTACTATACATAATATATACTTCATGTATTTCCGTAGAAATAGATTTTTTTTGTAACAGAAATTTTCATCAAAAAGGGATGTAAAAGGAAATCATGAGGATGGAAGAAGGAGAATGAAAATACTATTTGCTGCAGCTAATGCAACCTCGCGAAATATTCGTATGATAAGAGAAATGACGAGAGAATACAATGTTGTAACGTAAAGATGAAAAACTATGTATGATGATATTAATGAATGTGTCTAAACTTTCTTCTCGACTAGAGAAAGAGATATATGTTTTATATCTGAAGTAATATATGTAAATGTAACTGTGGTCTGACATCGTTTTGAGCAAGCGTCTGTACATGTATAAACGTTAAAAATCGGACTCCGTTCGATAACATTTGTCAAGCCATAAAGAAAGTGATGTTGCAATGAACGATTGGCAGGCAGCAGCCAAACATGCTAGAGCGATGCAACAAACAAATAAATTTCCCCGGGGCTTCTAATGACAATTTTTTGTTATTATTCACTCGCGGTTACGAGACTGTTGTCGAATTCATGGTTTTAGTGTACACTTGACACACATAAGTTGTCTACGGTTAGTAAAAGTAAAAGAGTGTTAAATCGATAGAAAACGTAGAAATATCATCACACTATAAATGCACTCTAATCATATAATATCTTATTGTATATATAAATATATAAATGTTTTCGCGCGCACTTTCATACAAGAGATATAGGATCGTAATTCGATTCGTGAAAATCGACAAAATTATTTATCTTAACACGTGTCCAATATCCCATAAGAAATTAATATATAAATAAGAAAATATAAGAATATATAACTAAAAAATTGGTAGCTTTAAACTTTTTAAGATGTAAGGAAAACGCTATTTATATAATTTTTTTCTCTTCCATCTACATATCTTCTTTTTGCGCAAAATAGATCGCGTTCCTCGAATAAAAATAATTGGATGTCACTATACCTGGGCACTTCGTTGGTTCTTTCGGTAGATGAAGATGATGTTTTCGCTTGATCGTAGGAGATGGTGCTACGTCGACCAACAGAACCAGGAGCAGGTGAGGTGAGTGGCCGACCACCACCTACTCCTGCATTCATTGTGTTGCTCTTGCCTACCCTCGCTTTACCACCAGGACTTGTACCCACGCCTAGAATGAACATCGTCACTGCAAGCCTCATTAGATGTGGTTCAACACAAAACAAAAAGCAACATACTTCAAATTATAAAAAAGATACAAAAAAATTACTACAAAAGATCGTGAGCTGAAAATGTGTGTGAAACACAAAAAAAAGTTTAATCTGTTTGAAATAAAAATTTGAGAATAAAATGTAACGTTAAATAATTACACGAATTACACATGTCAACATGTAATAAAAACCATAATTGATTAGGTTTTAGATATATATGGCGATAAAATTATGATAATATGATTGTGTGTTCAATCTTGCAAACAGACATAAGAAACAGACATAACCGATTTGACATTAATAAAAACATGTAGAACTAGAATCTTTGATAATACATAGCTGTAGTCAACAGACACAAGAATGTATGATTTGTGAACTCTGAATGATATGAATAACAGAAACAATCGATAAATCGATGAAATTAATTATACACTTGATAAATATTAGATACTGGAGGAAACATTGCGACCTTATTCAAAGCAACCTCATCCAAAAAAGTATCTTTTCGCTGAAGCGTTACGAAGTAAACACAGCATGACAAACAATCGAATAATATAATAATATCCGTCGATGAGAGGTCCTCAAAGTTTTGTTCAAGAACAAAATAAACTCACTGGTATCTAATTGCCCAGGCGGTTGACTGTTTTTTGGTGCGGAGGGCCGGCTTGCAGAAACACGAGCGCTATTTTCTTTAATCGTGGCTGCGTCCACGGTATTTTGTCGTTTAAAATTGCTACCACCGCTTCCAGTTACAGTTACGCCGGTTACTGTAGTTGCGTGATTGTGATTCGTTGCATTACCGGGACTTGGCGCGCCTCCTAACAAGGAAAGAAAATTATATAACAAAAAACTCTTTACTTTTAGACACGCACAGTACTTGTACTACTAATAATAGACGTATAAACAATCCTGTCCTTCCTTTTGTTATCATTTCAATGGTATTCGATTCAATGATAATGATTATTATTAAGGCTCTTGGCTCCTCACCGACATATTAAAATTGTGACGTTAGAGGTGAAAAAACACACACTAAAAACTCTTAGATGCTATTTCAAAATAAAAAAATATTTCGACGAAACAGTGTTGACGTCATAATCTAACATGGCCATGGCGGGATCCAGGAGTCTTAAGATATACAAATTTAGTTTAACAATGTAATGCACGTGTTACTACACGCTATGAACTAATACACAGTTACTATTTCCTTCTAACATAAACAACACAGAGAGTTTGTCGTACAGAATTTACAAAATTTCCGATCACAGGGAGCACAAGTTGTCTTTTGTCTTACCCGAAAGTTTGGCAAATATATCCTTTTTATCCATGCTTGTCGTCTGACGATAAAGTTTATAAACGGCCATAATACCGCATATTAAGAGTTACGGTTAAAATACACGAGGTAACCAACACTTACGAAGAGTTTCACCACCAGACGAGGCCCGTCTACTGGGTTTTGGATTGCTAGCAGAAATACTTCTGTGAACACCTCTATGCGATGGGCTTTGTACCGCGCCACCTGTCCCACCGCTGCTCCCACCTCCACCACCCGAGCTGACTTGTGGTGGAATGTTGCGCAGCGATAATGAACTACCCGACCGTGATCCATCGCTTTCAGGCTGTTAACAGATGAAAATTCGCTTGACGTAAGAAAGGATTCAGAGAACAGTTATAATCTGATTATAAAGTTGATGCATCGTGTACTTACATCTGTCGTTTTCCTCCCTAGGAGCAAATACGTGGCGAATACATCGTCGTACTTCGCTTGTCCTAAGGAATCCTCTATTTCGCTTCGAGTGTATCCCAAACTAGCTAGGGCCTCTGAAATGAAACACGTGGGGACATAGTCATAGTCGCTAAAATATTTTTTCGACAACACTTACAATGCAGCCAAAATTAATTAAAAAATGCAAACAAATCGAGTCGAGAAGCTTGCTACTACATATTATTATAACAGATATACTGTTTGAAATACATGAAATTCTTAAAAATTACTTGGTCTCTTCGTCGCCTTTGCGCAAACAATGCACAATGTTTGCATTTAAACACTCGTTCAAGATAAGTCGATGTTAGTTCGGTTTTAATATTAGCATTAGTTAAATATATAGACCTTTATTTCATAATTAAGATATATTTATATGATAAAAGAAAACTAATCACAGATACACACATACATAAACGTAATATATCAGACCAAAAACTTGAAAAATAAGTACGTGTAAATTTACTCGAACTGTTTGATACAATTTAATAAAATAATTTTATCTCAAATTATGCGTTTCAGCAAAGACGCTGCATTAATTTTGCCAGATTCAATTTTCTAATGAAAACTGTTATACATTAATACAATATTATGAAATTATATTAAGTAAAATTGTCTGATATATTTCGTTAATATATTAATAATCACTACATTTTCTACTACAAAAAAACACCCGATCATGAACGTTTCCTATATTTAAAATACATAAAAATTTATTTATTTTTTTTTTACATAAAAATTCATTTCATTAAAGCGATTGTGCAATTTATGTAATTGTAATATTTGAGATATGTTGTCATGTATATATATATATATATATATTTACGATCAAAGAAGAGAAATTTTTTCATGTAATCTCGCGCAATCTAGGAATATTCATAATGGGTGCATTAAACGTAAAAACGGTAAGTAGTAAGTGTTATGTACATACTGGCAGACTCACCTATCCTCTTGTGGTCTCTATAATCGGGTTCAGGTTCTAAGTACGGTTTTAATTCATCATCTTCATATCCCATGTTCATCCATTTATCCTTCATTATATTCTGCAATAATAAAGAGATCGTTAATTTTACTTCTCGAGTACGAATCGCGCGTATTAAAAAAAAGTATCACGTGTCATTGAAATATCAATTATTATTATTTTGTAAGATGATAAAAAGTGCTTAAAAATGAAGCACAATTTGAACTTGATCGTTACATACCTCTAGAGAAGCTCTCTTCGTCGGATTGAGCACTAAGAATTTTTTGAGAAGATTTTCACAGTCGGTGGACATATAAAATGGAATTCTATATTTCCCCCTTAATACTCGTTCTCTCAATTCCCTCAACGTCGAACCATCGAAAGGCAGTGAACCGGATACCAGTGTGTACAGGATTACGCCTAACGACCATACATCGACTTCCGGACCATCGTATTTCTTTCCTGCGAATCGAGAATCGATCGTGTGTGGATTAAATTTAAAGAGCCGGATACATAAAACTGGATAAAATAACGTCACTCTCTTGAGATAAAAAAAGTGCTTTACCTTGAAAGAGCTCCGGGGCGGCGTAAGGCGGCGAACCGCAAAATGTGTCTAACTTGTTACCGGGTGTGAATTCATTGCTAAAACCAAAATCGGCGATCTTGATATTCATTTCACTATCGAGCAACAGGTTCTCGGCTTTCAAGTCCCTGTGAATGATCTTCTTTTGATGGCAGTATTGCACAGCAGAAACGATCTGCCTGAACTTCGCCCTCGCCTCTTTCTCCTTCATCCGCCCGTGCAGGACCAGGTAGTCGAAGACCTCGCCACCGCTGGCATATTCCATTACCAGGTACAGTGTTTTTTCAGTCTCGATTACTTGGAACAGTTTCACTATGTTCGGATGATCGAGCATCTTCATTATCCTCACTTCTCGAAACAGCTGCAATTTGTTCAATATGCGTTAGCATGAATCACGAACTTACAATTAGATTTATTGAAATGTCTTTTTTGTCAAATTATGGTAATATAACGTGATTCAAACTATGACAGCTGTCTTCTTATGACTCAATATCAGTTTTTCTCAAAATTAAAATAATGCATTATTCATATATTGTTTATGATGATAAATTTAAGATAATGACTAATAAAAAATGATATAATTGTGCACAATTTCAATTGTCACTACATCTATTTTTTTAGTTTTATAAAAAAAAAACGAGAAATACTACAGCGAGAATGTTACCTTTTGAAGGCTACCGGGATTTAATTGAGTCTTATCGATGATCTTGATGGCTACTTCCTTTCCCGTGGGCACATGCTTGGCAAGTTTCACCTTGGCAAAGTTACCCTTACCGATGGTTTTCAGTAATTTGTACTTGCCGATGTGAGGCTCCTCGGAGGTTCGACTCCTCGAAGAGAGCCGACCTCCGGTACTCGACACCCCTACGCCATCCCCCGTCTGCAACAAGCAAAAAATCACACGTCAGTAAATTGTATGAGTAATCTCATATTGCTAAGATCAATGATTATATGTAAAATAATTTCGCGAAATGTTGCTCTTTCATCACATAAGACGTAGCGAGTCCTTTATTTTATACACAGGTGCCAAAAATGCATTTAAATAAATCATAAAAGTAATTTTCCGATTTGTGTTGTTTCTCATCTATCTATCATAATTCTATTATACTTCTGTATAATATCGATTGCACATATTTACGAATAAATAATAATATTTATTCTTAATATCAATATTGCCATACATATTATATATACTTACTTAAAAGTCCTTACAAAATATATTTAAATTCTTACCAAAATAAAATTAACAATTAAATATGTTATAATTTGAAACAAGCGCTATCTAAATTATACAATATAATATAATCCTGTACATAATTTGAATTTAATAAATCAGAGATTATCTGGGACGAGCTGTATATCTAGCGTGCACATTAATATTTATTTCAAGAAACGAGAGAATGCTGTACGAGAGAAGTTGCGTTGTAAATAGCCAACTATTTCAGAAACTCAACGCGCGGGGCGTTTATAAAGTTGCGGAACGGGATACGCGAGAGAAATACGGGGGCAAGTGCTTGTTAAAAGCACGAAGCGCATTCCTCGAGAATACGAGGAATCTCTCTCGCGAATCTCTCTTCCAACGCGTGTGTGTACGCACTTGACACATCCGAGATGCATAGCGGCGATGGCCACTGTCAATGAAATTAATTAAACCTCGTTAAAGTGCACCAGATACAGGATTGTTTTGAATGGAAAACGTGGTTGGAGGCTGCTCTTTCAAAAATACACATTGCGTCGACGATATTTTTCACCCCTATTTTCGATAAAAGAGAAGAAAGGGAAACTTGTCGGGATATCTGAATTTGAGAGCCATGCTTGATGGAAGAAAATTATTTATTGTACAGAGAAAGAATTTTCTCTTAAAATTTATCCTGAAAATCATGGACAATGTAGTATTGGAAGAATTTTATAAAAATGCCTCTGTGATTAATATTTACCACAATAAAAAATATTAATATCTGCCGCAATAAGATATAAAATATGTTCGATTAATTTTACTATGTACATGTTAAGAGATTTTTTAAATTCTTTAAAATTTTTTTTAAATTTCTTAATTTTAATATTTTTTATTGTGGGTAAATATTTTAATCAGAGAAACGCTTATAAAATTCTTCCAATGCCATATATTGTCCCACGATTATCATGATTTTCTGGGTAAATTCTAAGAGAAGGTTCTCTCCGTATATCTCTACCTAAAAAATAAATAAAATAAAAACAAGAAATCGAGCGAAGCTTTGAGAGACTAATTCTTTCATATATCATTACCCGCAGAAGGCCACGCGTGACCATCTTGCGCGAGCCGGAGGCGGCTGCAACCTTGGAAGCTGCCAGTTTGACTACTCTCTTCCGCGTCTCAGCGGAACGATCGATAGCAAACGAGGGATCGACGACGGTCGATTACTTCCGCATGCGTAAAAAAAGCGGCCACCGAGGCGAGATTTAGTTGATTTGTCAATAGCACGCGAGAATCACGAGAGACTCAATGACAGAATACAGACAGTCGTTGATTGCCCATTCGACGGCCTTGATTCGCGATTTCTGTCACCTGTCATTTGATTTTCACTGTCACTTTTGTTCCAACACCGATTTCGCAATTATATTTCCTTTTTCTTCTTTCTCATAAAGTTTTTATTAACACTTAATTCGATCACTTAATTCTCTTGGTCCTTTGATAATGATACTCCAATTCGCCGATTAGATTTGCTGCCGTAATTCCCATGGTCGATCGTTTTGAAAAGTCGAGCGATGAGTCAATTCGCGAAGCGTGTCACCGCGTTGGATCATTTTATCAGGGTTTACACGGTGTGTAAAAACCACTGATTCGATAAATTGCTGTTGTGTGTTGCCAAAAAAATCGAAACGAGTGTCTAAAGGGAATTGAATTATTCTCTTCGACTAAACTTCACTGATAGCTGATTCACTGATAAATCATATTTTTTTTCGATAAATGCATCTTCGAAAATCTTGACGGATCGTTCATAAAATATACAGTGAGATTCCGCGAACATCATTGCCTCGATATATTTTCAATTTAGGCACTCTTTGTACTAATATTGACGATTGAACTGTAAATCGATCCCACAAAGACGATGTTTGTACTTCGAGTAATCCTCGTAGATATTTCGTTTCCGATCTTGATTTCTCACAGAACACGACACTGTCCGCGAAAAAGTAGAACAACATATATATATATATATATATAGCTTTCAGTTTTTGAAGAATTTTAAAGAACCTCTATTTTAATTATAGACCATCCCGAAGTTTAAATATACATAAATCGCTTTTATTTATCGATAAAATCCCAACGAGTTCACCCGAAACTGATAATCCTCGGATATTCATAAGACAAAGGCGTGTCACATATACGTGCGATATTTCCCAAAGACGTCACTGACCACACCGATCGCTACCTCGTCGACCTTAGGTCAACGATAGTGAGGAAGGACGTCAGTGGTCTCTCGCCAGCACCGTCTATAGTTAACATCGATCCGTCACTGACAGTGGCTCGCTGACGATTCATCGAAATCCAATCAATTAGCGATGCACGAAAGGCGAGACCTTTCGAAAGGTCGCCCGAGGCTGTAGAACCCCGGTTAGTGGAGTCACCGGAGTGAAATTCCCGACGACGACGTCCGCTTCTATCCTGGCGAATCCTCGGGGAGGTGTGTCAAGGGCAACGGAAGAACGATGTCACCGGATCTTCCTCGCTCGTCCGCTTCGCGATCCGTCCAACATCGGCCTCCGTCTCATCCTCGCGATCCTCTCGCGAGAGAAACACCAGAGACGGTCGTGGAACGGCGAGAAACGGCGGTCGCTTTCGATGGTGATCGTCGTCGACGGTGACTGCCGTGCGCGAACTGCCTTCTCCCCTTTTCCACCCTCGAAACGAGCCACCCTCGGAGGAGAGACCGCACAGCCGAGGGATGCGACGAGCAGAATCAATACGCGATGCCGCTACCCCCTCTGGTGGAAACGTGTATGTGCGAGCGAACCACCCTTGAATGCTTAGCTCTCTCTCTCTCTCTCCCTCTTTCTCCTGTCACCCCTTTTCCGGACGCATGCGCTGCGGAAACTAGGAGCCCACATACACGCTTTCATCCCTTTCGACCGCTCGCGGCCGAAATAACAGAGGATCTGGGGCTAGTCAGCTGATCGGTCGGACTGGATGTCGTGAAGGAACGCAATCCGCTTTCGACGTGTTTCGGGGAGAAAAGCTTGAGAACTTTTTTAACGCGAATTAGGTGCGAGGTACATTGAAACAAGTTGTCGAACTCGAGTAAGTATTTGTTTCGATACTGCCTTATAAATCATTTATTTGAAATTAATAATATTGATTTAATGTAAAAAAAATATTTTATGTAAAATAATCTTTTTCAAAACAGATAAATATTTATTTGTTTCGAATAAATGATTTATAACGCATGTATTGAAATAAATATTTATTAATTCTTTTTTCAGGGAATTATATTTATATATGGCTTTTTTTGCAATCTACAATTTTATCGGAGATATTTCTCTATAAGAGAGATGATTATTTATGATGTTGACATTTTAATATTAAAAAGAAAGAGACAAAAGCGATAATTTTATGTTGCAATTTAAAGAACCAAAGATGATTCAGCTTTGTTTTTTTATCTACGAGAAGATATTAAAAAGTTAATAAATATTCTGATGACGCACGCACATATATCAATCTGTGGGATGTAAAGGGATGCTACATGTTTAGCTTAGTGATATACTCCTACTTAGCGACGAACTTTCGCTTCGTCAGCTGATCAACTCAACTACTGATAAATATTGAGATTAATGACCAATCGTATGTAAAAGACTGATAAATATATTCAGTATTTATCATCGGTTTGTACTTTATGCGATAGTCTATATCATTAAATTATCTTGTTGTCAATTCGATTTTCTGCATCAAAACTTCTTTTTAATACAGAAAATAACGTGTACAAGAATTTAATACATAAACAGATAACGAAATATTCCCACGAGTGGTTTGCCCCACATATAAAAATATATTTTATATGCGAGAGTACAAAAAATTTGTGAAATATTATGCAATAAAAAAATTACGCTATAAATGAGAATAAATTAATATTGATGGGCTGCACGGTGATTACGCGAAAAAACAAGTTGTTCGCGGCGTCAGAGGTAAAATTACGCTGGTCTATTTTCCAGAGAACAACTGATTTTTTTTCTCGCTAAACACTTAGGCGCGAGGAACTCTTCAAAGTGAGTAAATATGGTAGGTCGAAGTTTCTGAAAGGCACAACAATAGGAGAGCGTCCCATCAGCTGATCAATCGGCCGAGAAAGAGAATGACAAGAGAAACATTGTGGACATCCACTCTGCGCAAAAGGAGAATAAGAATAGATCCAAGTCGATGCAAATTCATCGCGAAAAAAAACTGCGCGCACGTGGACTGGAAAATAAATCGCGAAGAGCTCGCTATTCTATTAAATAAAAGGAGCCAGCAATGTCTCTTCCAGCTGATCGATCTGCATTGTTTCCCGCTTTTTAATGCAATTCGAGTAATTCAATACAATTTAATTCAATAGAACCATATAATTAGTATTAGTGCGCGCATTATCTATTTTTTTATCATTTTAAAATTATTAATACGTTCTATTATATGTTAAATGAATAAATAAATAAACATGCCTTTGTGTAAAGAAATTTTAAATAAAAAAAAATAAAAATATCAACCATTCAATCTAATTGCAATAAAAATGCAATTATTGCCGCGTATCGCGAGTCGATCTTAATGGCATGAGCTGGTTATCTTTCATTCGTCACACGTTTCATTATGATCCTGTTCATTCTACGTGTAATAATATATTGGAAAATATATAACCGCTTTTAATCGATTCGAGAGATGGTAATCGTATAGTAGCTTCGCTAAAATTCGCGAGATATTTGTACAGACGAAAGCGCTGATGCCATATTCCATGGAGATTATGATTCATGCGTCTTTCCATAACACAACGGGGAAATGGGAAATGGTAAGTTAGATGAAGTGAAACAAAGCCGGCTTTACGTTCGCAGGGTGCATGTGAAATTTGTTTTATGACGCGACGCGCGAAGCCGATACGGACGTAAAATAAAGTCGCGTCCCAGATATATCGTCTGGTTTATCGGATTCGACATGACGTACGATATTAAAAGAGATTATATCTCTTTTACCACTTTTTTTTTTAATGTCGTATATAAAAGAGTTCTGTTGGAAAAATTATCTTTAGTTTTTATCAAGTAAAGTGTTCGACTTGCTCATGAGAATAGTCTCGAGGTACCGAGACAATGAATAAAACAATTAAAATACTTAAAAAAAAAATATATATATATATATTTTTCCCTGAACTCGTTTAATTGATATAGCTTCAGAAAAATAAAAGTGCATTTTATTCGCAAATTAATATTTTTATGGTCTGTATAAAGATGACTTATATATATATTTTTTGCCATTAAGAAATAATTTCTCAGAAAGAAAAAGAAGAGAAAAATATGATTGAATCTTCCGAGACACAATCAAGTAAATTTCAGCATCGAGAGTTAATTGGTCTCGACAGGTTACACGATCATTACGATCGTCGAGTAGCTGACGAAGCCGTCCGGATTATTTCAGGTCGAACGGATGAGCCGTAGACTGCACCGACGAGTCATACGTGTGACGTAAGCATGGAGATGATGCATTTACGTTGCATTCGTTAGCGAGGGTGCCATACCGTCGATATAGAACAAGTATGTATAAGTAATACATACAGGCGATCGTAAAATTTGCGATTCAAACCGTGCATCGTCCTTACCTTATTTCAGATTTTCTCTATCGTTTTAATACCTATCCATATCGACTTTAAAATAAAATTATATAAGTGCTTAGTATTATATATAGATATATTCTAATTGTTGTATGATTTAATCGCAGAGCGATGCGAATCTTTCTTCCCTCCTTTCTCTAGGAAAATTAGATAAAAAAAATTTATCTTATCGATAAAACGCCGATAGTCTCCGATAATTATTCGACACGAGCGCTTAACGTCGCAATGCGATATACATATATATATATATATTTATATCTACCTCCTTCTCGCTTTGAATACTCTTCTGCATGATGTCTGACAACGGCCTGAGCTGGATACTGGTCACGGCGTTGTTCTGCTGCTGATGCTGATGCTGTTGCTGTTGCTGATGACGTTGTTGATGATCCTTCTTGGCGACTATCGGCCGAACGAGGGCGCGAGTCTGCGGCATCCTGGGCTGAGTCCTCATCTCCGTTTCCTGTCCGCGGCGCGTGTCCGACGCGGTCCTGGACAACTTAACCGCGGGCTTCTTCGGCGCGATGCAGGCATTTCCGGTGGAATTCCGCGTCGCGTCCCCGCGTTGCAACGGCGAGGCCCTTTTTGTGCAGGGCGTTTCATTATGATTCATTCGTCACGACATCTCTTCCTCTCGTCATCGCTCGAGGTTTTTCGAATTATGGTGTCGTGTGTGTGTGTGGTAATGATTAGTAAATGAAGATAAATCGGGCAAGCAGAGTGTTATGCATTTAAAAAGGAAATGCCGCGATTAAATCTTCTTCAGCTTCGATATTTAATTTCGCGCGGTTTATCTGAATCTTTAATTAAAATATATTTTTAAGATAAAGTCTACTCGAAATAAATTGGAAAATAATATTCTGTTATCTGTGTTTACGCAGACAGACGAAAATACAACTCTCGTCTATATATAGTAAATTATTCACAATTTTTTAAATCCACTATCTCGAAATATAGACGGAGAGAATTTTTCTTCTAGAATTTACCCTGAAAATCATGGTAATCGTGGAACAATATATTAGAATATCTCTGATTAATATTTACCACAATAAAAATTATTAATATGTATATAATAAAATTAATCGAACATATTTTATATTCTAATTGTGGGAAATATTAATATTTTTTATTGTTGTCCCACAATTATTTTCTGTTTAAAATTGATTGTAAAAAAAAAAAGAAAGAAAGAAAGAAAAATCGCTTACGCGCGATATTTGTAAGCTACCCAAGTGACACCCGGTATATTTATCCGTCGAAACATCTGTCATTCCGCTCTGCTCCCCCGATCTTTCCCGGTTGGGCGTGTAATGAATAGCGACGGGAAATCACGGAGCAAATCGCATTCGGTTACGACGTTGCGTAAATTAAATGCCAATTGTATCGAAGAAAGGGACACGCGTGGGCGTAAGCGGACAGTCAATTGTACGGATCAAGAGTGTAGTAGATGATCAGACAAGAAGGTGGATTGGGCGGCGATTTCCTCAATTATGGCTAAGGCTATCGTCGCTCCGTATAAATGTAGTAACGTGACTCTATATGCGTGTGTAAATGTGTGTATACATGCGCGTTCTCGGATATTGACCGATTGAAATGCCGAACTGAGATTGAAAACAATCGCGTGGGTGAACTATATTAAATTTCCAAGCCAATTAATCCTTTGAATCTCTCGAATGTTTACCGACATAAAGTTAAATTATTTTTGAAATTTTTGTTTTCACAAAACTATCATTTCTCGGTGAAAAAAAATAATAAAAATAAATATCTCGAATCTTAAATCAAAGTAAGCTTCAAATACCTAATTTCGTAGTTTGATTTTAAGAGAAGTCTCCATCACAAATACATCCACCGACACTATCATCGAAACAAAAAAAAAACAAAAAAAAGTCCGAGAGGCGTGGATGATGTGTGTTTGTCGCGAAAAAAGTATACGAACGACGATATCAATGAGTGTGTGAGAACGATCGATGTAGCCAGAAGTACATATGTATGTATTTTTACCCCTCGGCCTCGTCGTCGGTCACGTTCCGCAGCAGGTCCTCGTGCTCCCGGTACCTAAGCTGCACTTCCGCTCCGAAATCCGAACTGTTCTCCAGCTGACGCCTCGCGGCAATTGTACTCATCTCGATAGCCTTGACTTGCTGTTCCAATCGTTGCAGCATGTCGGTGCTTTCAGCCGTCGCGCTCGACGTGCGTTGCTGCTGCTGCTGTTGCTTCAGCATCATATCGAGACTGAGCGGCTGAGGTTTGGGCTCCGTCAATTCCCGTTGCTGGGCGATCGGTTGAATGATCTTCGACTGACTGAAGACACGCAGCTTCTCCTCTAGATTCACGTCCATGTTCCCATCCAGAAGCCTCCGTCTGGAAACCGGGGTCGGACGATCGTAAAGCGGACTCGCCACGCCGGGATCGCCGATTCTTTGTTCCTGATCGAATTCAGGCCGCGTTTCTCGATCACCTGCAGACCTCTGTCGTTCTCCACCAGCTCCCACTGCTTCAGACTCTCCAAGGGCGTGTGCGGCGCAGACATTCGTTTGGGCGACGTGACGCCACCCATCATCGGACTCGGTTCACGATTCGCGATCGGCGATCGATTCGTCAGCTGACACCCGAATTTATGCGCCTGTGGCCGAATCAGACTCCTGCCGGCCTGCGCTCGCACGAACGAACTCCCTTGATCGTCCATGATTGTCCTTCAACGTTACCGATCTTCTTCTTCTTCTCTTCGATCTCGTCACCTGACGATCGTTTTTGACGGATAATCGTGTCGTCGATCGAGCTGAGTCCTCAACATCGATTCAATGGTTAAATCGATCGACGCTGCCGTGCTCCAGAGACTTATGGTTTCTGTCAGGAAGAAGATATGGTTTTGCTCGTTTAAAGGCGTCGAGAGCACCGCGACGATTGTCATTGAACGTACACGTAATCACACACAGAAGCCAGAACCCGAGAACGAAACATCCAATCGATCGATCCTCACTTCATAAATCTTTCTTCGACTTACAGTCACATGTATCGATAAGCGAACAAGCGGGGCACCAGGATTTTCTGTAGACGGGGAAATAAAGCTTTGTTGAACTAACGTTGTGACGTTGACTTTTTATGCACTCGTAACGTTGCAGGTAATAAAGCAGATAGATATACAAGGAAGCAATCTGATGGATTGCCGCGGTTCAGTACGAGTAGATGATGGCTTGGGTAAAGCTCGGGGAATTGTAAATGTGTGCGTATGCGTCTATGTTATATGTGATTCAGATCTCTCTATTACATAATGGTATTCCGACAGAACAGAATCGTCATTAAGTCAGATGCGTCAGCGTGCCGGAAAAATTTCGCACGATATATCGTATCAAGAATATAACAATTTTTCTGACTACTCGTTACGACGAAAATATCTTGATCCTCGATAATAATAATAATATAATCGTTAAATTATTATTTTTGTCACACGTACTCAAACATTTCATATCAAAGATTTAAATAGTACTTTTATTGCCTAGTCATCTAATAATAAGCATCGACAAATGTATATATAGAGAATAAATTAATCTTAAAATCAATATTATATAAGTTATTATTAAAGAAATATCTCCTTAAAAAACCATATAAAAAAAGACATGTTTTTCACGGATGTCATAAAGTACGGTTTGCTATTCTTATCGAGTGAGACGATCGAGGACACAACGAGATATCGAGCAAAGAGCAATATACATCATATTCGCGTGTGCAGCTCTAAGATGATGATAAGGATGCGCGTACTTATATCTGTGAGTTCCGCCTTGATCCGGCTTAACCAGCAGCGGTAAGGTGAAAAATATTCCATTAGCGTTTAACGATTCTATTAAATCCTCCGAGAAATTCAACGAGTCAAAATCAAAGGTCGAGTCGATCGAAGAATAAGTGAATCTTGAAAAAAATATATTTTCATAGAAATATATTACATAATTATATAATAATTAATTATATAATTAATCATTATAATAATTCGTGTTGCGAAATATAATTCATCATACAAATTACTTCTCATATATTTATATTTGTGTCAATCCGATTGTATTAAATCATTACTAAGCTCTTTAAAATGTGCAATTCTATAATATAAAAATATAACATGCGATTATTTTATCATCTTCTTTCTTTTTCCCGGTTTTCATCGGATAAAATGGAATAGAGGAACAGGAACGAACTAGCGACGCGTCGCGAATTTTTGCGCTTTACGGGGGCGGCTTTTCTGTTCGTTCTCCGGGGTGGAATAGCCAGACGGAAATTTGCTCCGAGATCGAATCGAGACGAAGTCTGGAAAGGGGTAAAGCGACTCCCATCCCCGACCGAGTGCCATATAATGTCGACGGAAAAGGTTGGAAAGCCGTTTCGCCAATGGGAAATGAAACGGGCCATTTCTAGTGTATCCTCGACGAGAGAAGCTTATTGGCAATTTGAAAGACTCGAGGACAGAACGGCCGACGATAAATCGTTACGTTAATAATATTATCCACGGTGTTAATTAACGCCTCGGACGATCGATTGATTATTATCGCGCGAACACGATCAGGTTGAGCTTGATCGTATAGAGGAGTATAATAAGTTTATCGATCCTCGTGTCTGTATTTAATAATTAAGGCGTATATAGACGGGTAATTTTCTTTCGATATTAATAATGCAAACGCGCAAATTCTATCGCAAAATATTGATGATAATTACAATTTTTAGATATACCAATGATTATTGTATATGCTTGTGATTAAAAGATGTAATTTCTGATTATCTTAGAGCTTGTAATATTTCAAATCAAAAGCTTACAGCGAGATTTATTTTCACAATCTCTGTCAGCTGATTCATAATTCTTTTGTAAATGCTATATTGTGTGATGAATTAAAAGGCGAGATAATGATTTCCTCTTAATTGCTAAATATCTAAAAATAGACCAAGTTTTATTGAAGAGAACATTTTATCAGTCAGAAAGAAGGATCGATCTGAATGACGGAGATCTACGAGGTTCAATGACATTCACTCTAAAAACTGAAAATTGATTGGTCGGTTAACGGCGCAAATCGACTGAAATTTCCGGTCATTCGTCAAGACGATATATGACGAATTTGTTGAAAGATATCGAAGAGAACTTGTCGAACGATCGACAAACACCGACGATATTTTTCAACTGGGAGGCAAAATAAAAGTCATAAATCTTGAACGAAGGGAACAGAACACGGAAAGTAGGGAGATTTATAGATCCCATTCTATTATTATACTGGGTGTTTCAGATTTCCTGAAGTCTTTTTTCCAAACTGCGGGAAATTCTATAATAAACTCTTATAAACATTTTGGGGAGTAGATTTCTTCGTATCGTTTTAACAACACTTTAAATTTTATTATAACTCTGAAAATTCTGTTAAACTAATAATATCCAGTTAATATTGAGAATAGAAATTTATTGCAACTTAAGAAAAAAATGCAACATTTTTAACTATATAATTTTAACTGTTTTAAGGCAAATTTAATATAAATTTACTCCATGATTAAAAAATTTACAGATGGAGAGAAGATGCAGAGATTCTGAGACACCCTGTAAATGACTTTCTAGTGCAGATTCTCGTGTCACGAGGAATGAACTATACCATGCTTCGAGGAAATCTTTTACGGAGAAGGTGAGAAAGTTCTCCCAGTGGCAAAGTGCAATTATCGCGATTTGAGATCGTTCTTAATAAAGGGGCTGCATATCTGTTTTCGTATGTAATTACTGTATAACGCAAACTTCTGTCAGCGACTTTACAAAATACGTAAAATTGCGAGAATTTTCTCATCTTCTCTCTAGTTTCAACAGAGTTCTGAATTATTAAAATTAATCTGCATAGTGCGACTATAAATACGACAACTCTCGGAATAATAAAATAGGAAAGTGTGAAGAGTGCAGAAAGTTAGAAAGAGAGAAAATAGAAACGCAAGAATACCTGATATCTTTCAATTGACAATTTGAATAATGACGCGAAATAAATGATGAAAACAGTGTCCGAGAAGAAATGAAAAACTTTATACATCAATGCCGTGTATCAAGAGGAGCGCGATGCACTTGGTGTACTTGAGGATTAACTGCCATTAACATTTCCAAGACTTTACGTCAGCACTTCTCTCTACACGGTCGAGGAACTAACTTCGATAAATTCCCTTCACCGACGGAATGTGATGCCGAAACTCGAGTAATACTTACAATTAGTATAGTAATGCGAAACACGCGCGTGTCTCTCGCGAGATTAAAAATTCTGTTGGCTAGAGGGATCGCGGCGCAAATTTCGACGGTCGATCGCAGTTATCAGCGACTTGTCACACGCACACAAGTATTCGCAGAAGTAGATTTACACCTGCACAGGCTTTCTCTTCGAAAGCGTAATTGTACACAGAAGGTCGCGTAATTTTTTTCCCTCAATCCCGTGAAAAAATTACATGGACGAGACGTGCAAAGGGACAAGCGATATATACCCGAAAAGTTACGTGGTCAACGGATTGTGAAGGACTGGATCCATTTCTCGAGCTGCGACGATAAGCGTCCGGCCAACTTGACTTCGTTACATCGCCACTCTTATCAGGTAAATGCTGATAAGCGATAGCGCGTCTACCTAACACCCGGCACTGTGACGATCACCGGGTCGGGAATCTCATGTACTTGTACGATGTAGAATCGCGAGGCGATAAAATATATATATCGAGGAATGAACGTTATTAAAGTGTAATAAAACGTGGCGCAAAATCATTATTTTTCTTATCGATATCGCGAGATATAAATGTGAACTAAGGTGAATAGTGAAATGTAAATTATATCTTGTCTCCGTATATAAAAGCACAATTTTAAAAGTTCAAGATAAAAAGATTCAATCTAACATTCGATCAACGCTGATGAAATAAATCGAGAAATTAGAAAAATAATGAATTGTCGATGAAATGTCTACTTTAGAAAGGTTTGAAATAAAATCGCAGCATATTAACGAGAAATTAAAATTTAAATGAGCGTAAATATATACAATGTAAATAAATCATATCAATTTTTGCAAAATTTAAAATAAATAACAAATAATGAAAAATACATGTTGAATATATATTCGTAAAATATTTTTTATTATTTGTGAATCACATATTTTAAATTTCGAACAAAAATTGATACGATTTATTTACATATGTCCGACATTGTTTCGCATTATTGCGATTTTATTTCAAGCCCTTCTAAAGCACAAAAATATGAAAAAAAGGATACATTATATTATTTGCACATTCATAGTTTGATATTTTTATTTTATATAATCGCTGTTATAGCTGCAGCGAAATCTACGCAGTCAACTATATACGGAGCTACGGTAAGTGGGAGATAGAAACGCAAAATTTGCATACACGCATTACGTCGTAAGAGGCACAGATGCATGCGAATTAACCGAGTCACTTAAATCGCGTACGTTTCTCGTTTATCTAATAAGCTCAAGTGCGCACATTTCATACTATTTCCGTGCCTTTTATCCATCCTCATTGCCACACCTCGTGCACAAGCACGCTGATTTTCGTACAAAGAATATTTTTGAGAAAAATTATAAAAGAGCCTCGCGCATTTTATTTACAAGAACAACGTTAAATATTCTAATTTCGTTCTAATTTCTTATTATTCTCTTTATCAATTTTTTTATTAATTAACATCCGCGCAAAACACATTCGACCCATTTTATTTGCTTAAAAAATAATTTAATTAAAAAGTCAATTATTGAGACTAATTGATTAAAATTAAAATTCTGCACTGGAATGAGATTGCAATTCGCCATAAATATATTATAACTGCAATGTAATTATATATAATTTGCTGCGATCACTTT